GGCAGGTACCCAGGGAGATTTAGAAAGCCCCAAAGACATTTTTTGTTTGTTTGTTTGGTTTTTAAGAAGACATGGGGAAACAGATGAAAGGGGCGGGGGAGGGAGAGACTAATGGACAGGGAGACCGAGACAGACAGACAGACAGGCCAACCAGGAGGTAACCAGTGACAGAACTGAGAAAGAGGGACAGAAAAATATCTGAACAGAAAGAAAAACCAGATAAATGAAGACAGGGAAACAAACCTGGAGAGTGGGATAAGACTGGACACAGAAACACAGCCCAGAGACTAGCACCCCAGAGAAGAGATGGGGAGAAAGCATGAAAGCTGAAGAAGGCAAGCTTGGGGGTTGGGGAGGGACATACGGCTCTGCAGATTCTGGCTCACTGGGAGCAATCTATCATCCACATCACTCTGGGACCCAGAACAAGCCTTGAAAGAAGAGTTCAGTGCTCAGCCTATCTGATACAGGCACATTGGAAAGCGGGGTTGAAGGCAAAATGGGAACCTTCCTTTGAAAAGTGGCTGGTCAGTGACCACCCAGGACCCCGGTAGCACACCCTGCGCCACCTGCTGGAGATGTCCCTCAGCCTGCCCACTGCCTGGATCCAGTCTCCTTACAGCTAAGTGCTGAAAGACTCTAGCCCACCCCCAAGGTCCCATCTCCCTTGTCCTCCTTTCCTGATGTCCCTGCTCCCTTCTTTGTCCTCTGTGGACACATTTGCTCTGTTCAGCCACTTACTAACTGGAAGGAAAGGGATGCTGTGCCCCAGAGCCCCCTGATTTGGGGCTGGATGTTCCTTCCTCCTGTGCCCCCCCCCCCGCCTGATTGGCCTATCATCTCTGAGACACGATCCATGTCTCACCCGGCAGCTCATAAATACCGAGCAGAGGCCAGCTAGGCTGTGCAACAAGCCTAGATCCCCACACCATTCTCTCTTAAAATCCTTGGGCTCTTCTCGGGGGTCCCCTCTTCTTGCCATATATCTTTCCGGGGCAGGAGGCGTGGCACCAGCCCGGTGTGAACCTGGCCCCAGATCAATGGAGACCTGGCTTAGCCTGCAAAGAAATCTCAGGAAAGGCATCTGGGGGGCCCCTCCTTTAAGTAGCAAGCTCAGGAATTCCTTGACTTTCATCCAACCCCCCCCACTCCAGCCCCTTCTTGGCCTTTCTTTCTCTCTCTCTGCTCATTACCATCCACACCACCTCCCACCCACAAGGAAAAAGAAGGCCATCGCCAACCAGGGCCCAGAGAAAGGGTGCTTTCTGGAAGATAAGCCAGGGTGGGGGCAGAGTTGTTTACACACCACAGCTTCCCTTAGCTCATCTCCACTCTTATCCACGGGCCAGGAACACTCTAAAGCCACTCGGCCCACAAGGCTGATCACAAAGCAAAGGAAGAAGCTTAACCCTACATGGCCTTCATAGAGACCAGAACATGAAGTGAGCGTGAAGCCGAAAGCGGAATCTCCTCTTTATGGACTCATTTTAAAAAGGCCAGGAGGCTGTGATGCCACTGCTAGGTAGACAGACAGCCTGGAAGTTGTCTGCAGAAGGTCCCAAGGAATTTAGAATCGTGTGTGTGTGTGTGTGTGTGTGTGTGTGTGTGTGTGTGTGTGTGTGTTGAGGTAGGGTGGGAAGGGGCAGCCTGGGATTCCTTTGGTCTCTGTGAGTACTGTTGCTCATTATAGCTGCAGCATACAGCCTTGGATCCAAACAGAGCTTAGAGACCACGCTAAGGCCTTCTTCTCCTTCTGTGTCTATTAGGATGCCCTCCCCAGTGGTAGGAACATAGCCGGTGCCTACTTAGTGTGCATGCAGGACCCTCCAGGCCAGTGTCTGACTCTCAAATCAGAGACTTCTGTGGGCTCCCATGACTCAGGGGAGAGGGGTTGGGGATAAGCTAGAGGAGCAAGACAGAGCCTCCAACCTTGACCCTCTTTCTGGAAGGGCCCATAACAGGCCCTTGCGTGAGGAGCTGAGCTCTCCAGTCATGTCTGGGACCTTGAGGCTGGAAGTTTATTTTGAGTTTTGAAGCTCCAAAGTGGCAGATCCCAGAAAACCTCTTCTCTGGCTCCACAGTTGTTCTCCAGTTAAGTGGTTGAGTGCTCTTGCAGTCAGCTGGCTCCTACAGCCTGGGGATCTGGGGACAGGGTAGAGGGGGAGAAGGAGTGGAAGGAACAAAGTCTTCTAGGTTCCCTACTACAGGGCAGAGGTGGTCTGAGCTGCAAGGGCTCTTGTCTCCTCAGTCCCCTCCCTTCTTCCTGGAGCTGCTGATGTTTTGGGCTCATATAAGAAATATACTTTAACAGTTGAACATCTGTGTTGTGCCAAAGCATGGTCCCACTCAGCTATGATGGTAACCGAAGCCAAAGAAGGGGCCTTGGACGTGAATGTGGGGCCCATGTGGGTGAGTCCACCCAAGGCTAGATGCAGTCATCTCCCGCTCCCATCCCGCAGCCCCGGGCTCATATGTGCGAATGAACACGAGGCCAGAGTTACACCCAGGCCGAAACACACAGGGGAGACTGGGGAGCAGCCTACAAGCTGGGAGACAGGCCCTGCAAAGGGGTGGAGCTGGGCTGGGAGGAGGTGAGAGTGGTCCAAGGAAAGGGCTTCAGCCAGGAAAGAGCCTAGAGCCTAGACTCACAGTCCCTCACCTGGTCCTCACAGGAAAACTGGCCGTACTGAAGACAGCAGGCTGACAGAGTCTAACAGACAGCGGGAATGAGGGGAGGGAAACACTGCTGGCTCTGTGAGCTCTCTAAATTCATCCTCTCCTCTTTCCCAGCCCCACTCCCACCCACACAGCCCAGCAATGGTGGGCACCTTCTTGCCTCTCCATCCTGACTGTCCCCCCTTGACTTGTCTGAACGGACTCTTCCTCCCTAGCGCACTCTGCTGCATTTGGCTGGCCTTTTGGATGGCCCCTGTGTACCAGCTCACTCCTGTCCGGGGTGTGTGTGTGTGTGTGTGTGTGTGTGTGTGTGTGTGTGTGTGTTCTACTAACGCTTTCCTTCTTGCAGTGCTCTACACCCTACACCTCAACCTGCCCGGCTTATTTCCTGCCTCCTCACATCCTCCCTTCATCACGAATTACCTTTTACCCTGACCTGCTTCCTCTCACCTCTCTGGCACTTACCACTTCTCATGCTTATTATCTTGCTCAGTAAAGTGTAAGCTCCATGAAGGCAGAAATGCTTTTTTTTTTTTTTTTTTTTAAATTCGTATGTGTGTTCTCTGAGCCTAGCACAACCCTATCAGATGGAAGAGAATAATATCTGTGGAACTGATGCATAACTTGGCCTCTTACCACAGAAACTGCGGGCAGAGGACTGAGTTGTGGGGAGAGAGGATAAAGGCCCTTCTGAACTCTCTCTCTCTCTCTCTTTCTCTCTCTCTCTCTCTCAGATGTCTGCAGCCAGCTGTGCCCTGTCCTTCACACTCTGGCATCTCTAACACCCCCACCAGACAAGGACTGACAGTGAGTTTGGGGCTGGGTGGGCAGTCACCAGCATGATGTTTACATCAGGACTTTACGGTTTAGATAAAATCACGAGAAGAGGCATGAAAGACACCTGGGAACGGGAGGCCAGGCAGGAGAAACTGAGGCTGGGTAAAGATCTGTCTGTCTGCCCCTACAAGGTTTCTACTTCCCACACAGGGAAGTGCCAGCCCTTTGCGAGGTGGAGGCGTGGAGGGGGGGGGGGAGCATAGATAGAAAGGGACAAGGGGTTCTTTCAGCCCACAACACCTCTCCATCTTTTCCCAACTTCCCACACCCGCCCCCTCCCTCCCCGGGCTCTGCGGGGACCGAGGGAGGGCCAGTGGAGAGGAGGAAGGGTGGAAAGGGAGGGAGAGAAAAGGCACCAGGGCTTCCACTCTTTCCGCAGGACCCCCACTACGGCCTCTGGTGCGGGAAAGCCGCCCAGCTGTTTCTGATTCTTTCCTAGTCGCAGCTCCGCCCGAGGGGGTGGGGGACGGAGATAGCAGGAGAGACCGAGCTCTGCCGAGCCCCGGCCACGGCGCGGGCGGCTGCGTCCCGCTGGCAGGTGTGTCTCTTGGGCGACCGAGCTTCCCTGAGCTGGGGAAAGCACCAAGGTGGATAGGAGCCGGGTCTCAAGGACGGGCAAGCCAAAAGGACGGTGTCAGTGCAGCGGATGGGAGAAGCTGGAAAGATGAGCCCTTGATGAGAGGGTTCCCCGCCCGAGGCCGACTGCCCACCGCGCCCCTGCAGACGGCGTGGCCAAGGGAGTCCCACTTTTCGACAACTCCTGCTGGCCGGGTGTCTGTCTAACAGTGGCTCAGAAGCGCAAGGGTGGGAGGACGGGAGCGAAGCGCCTCTTTGGCGTTTAGCTCCGGTGTGACCGTCCGTTCGTTCGAGGAAAGGGAAGTGTCCGCAACGCCCGCTCTCACCGGGCGCGCCTTGCCACCCAAGCCGGCGGTCCCCGCGTTTCGAGTGAAGGGCGCTAGGACCCGGTGGCGTGGCGTGGGGTCGGTAGGGACAGGGGGCTGCAGACGGGGAAGCGCCCCGTCGCGGGTGGCGGAGCAGGTGGGGGTCCGGCGGAGGGGCGCTCCGGAGACCCGAGGGGAGGAGGCGGCCGCCACACCTAGGGCGCCGCGGAGCACCCGGGCTGGCGCGGGCGGAGCCGCGCCGAAGGCCGCGCGTGTCGCCGGCCCCGCCCCGCCCCGTCCAATGAGAGCTGCGGCCGCAGGGGCTGTCGGCGCGCTCTGCCCCCGGCCGCACTCCGCGCCCCGGAGCCGCTGACACCGCACCGGAGCGCCTCCACCCGGCTCGGCGCCGCTCGCTCTCCGGGCCCTGAGGCTCGCGCGCTCTCGGGAAGCCTGCGCCCGGCTCCCGGACTCCACGTGCCCCGAGGTCCCCGGTCGCCCGTGGTCCCCATGGCCACACTGTGGGGCCGGTTAGGAGAAGCCTGAGGAAGCCCAGCCAGTGCCCGTCCACGGCCCTGCGGGCTGCGCGGCGGGAATCTGTGCGGAGCTATGCTGAGCCCGCGGCGTGGGGACGAAGCCGCGCAGCTCGCCCCTCGGCGTGCCCGCGTCCCGGTGCCCGCGCCCAGACTCCCGGCCCCCGACGTGCCCCCAGCTTCCGCCCGCCTGGGTCTTGCCTGCCTTCTGCTGCTGCTGCTGCTGACTCTGCCGGCCCGGGTGGACACATCCTGGTGGTGAGTGGGTTCTCAGGGTGGGTAGGCACACTGAACCGAGGACGTTGCTTCGGCCACCGGCTGCTCAGGCACCAGGTAGTTATCTGGGCGGAACTGGAGGTGAACAGTCCCAGAGGTGGTCTCCAGCGGCTGGTGAGGAGAGAATGAGGCGCCAGAGAGGGGAGCGCTGGGCATTTGGAGTGAGGTAGCTGGTGGTGGAAGTCCTCTAGCTTGCTACACTGTGCCCCTAGGGCAAAAGCTACTGTCTGAGTGTCTCTCAGGGTAGGTTCGAGGAACCAGTAGCCTCTCCACATCCTGCAGTGGCATAGTCACGGCCCTCAAAAGGCCTTCAACAACCTAAGGCCCCCTGGGTACACGGAATAGGAACCATTTGGCTGGGACTCACATCCCTCTACTAGCGTAGCCCACAAAATGAGGCAGTAGCACCCACAGCAAGGCTTAGAAGTGAAATTGAAGCACAAACTACTCCCTTCCCCTTAATTCCCACAATTGAAACAAATTAAACACTTGGGGTTGCATAACCCAGGCATTTGTCACCAGCCTTGGCTTTGAGGGTATAATTTGGAACACCGATGTCCCTTTTTGCTTTCCTGTCCCAGATGACATAACCTCCCACCTTTTCCCTCCAAGGCCCAGAGGCTTCTAGAGTCTCAAGAGTTTTAAGACCCTCTCTTCAGATCTCTTGAGGACCTTGGTCTTCAGATACCTCCAAACAGCAGCTGAGGCAAACACATCCGAGGAGCCACTGGGTTTCTGCTGTGTTCTTTGTAGAATTCTCTACCCAGCCACAGGACTCCTCCAGCCCGTAGGATACTCATCCTCTTTCCAGAAAGGGTAAAGTGAGGGGGGTAGAATTGGACTGCAAAAAGATTGTTTCCTCAACCTTCCTCCTCAACCCTCCAGTCAAATTGGCCTCTTGGGCTGGGCTCGCGCAGGCAGTGTCCCCTTCCGTCCCCCCCCCCCGCTCCTCCCCTGAAACAAGCACCCCCTCTGCACCCCCACCTCCACTCCTACCTCCTACAAAGTGAGGTCTCCTCTCCTCCTGCACCCTGTAGCTTTTCTCCCCTTGACTAGGGATCTAGGCTGGAAGGGTGAGGGGTGGCTGGTTGAGGGGCGAGCCAGCTTGGGCTGCAGATTCCTATCATTTCAAGATGCTGCTCTCCCCACCCCCACCCCTGTTTTCCTGTTAAGGAAAAAAATCTTTCTTTTGGATCTTTTTTATCTCTGCAGTGTTGGGGAAGACAAAGAGGGGGGGTTCAGATGAGGAAGCGGGGAGGCCTATATCTTACATCTGGCTTGAGACATTCCTTTAGAAAAGGAAAGAAGGAAGATGGGGGAAAGCCTTTCAATGACCATAGCGAAATCAACCCCCCCCCAAACATTATGACTCAGTTTGGCTAGGGACATATATCTTCGGGGTCCCTGTGAAGAAAGCATAGGAGTGCGCAGAAGCTGGTGCCCAGCTTTATCTGGCCTGCGAGACAACTGGCTTTTTAAAACTCTTGATAGCCTTTTACCAGTCTGAGGCAGTCGTGGTGACCTAAGGGTGCTTAGACGAGGAAGTGTCACTGTGGACATTTCTACATCCTGATAGCAGTTACTAAACACTCACCTGCAGCCCTTCTGACCTACATTTTTACCCTTGACCACCATCCCCTCTCTCATTTCCTTTCTCCCTCTCTCCATCCCCAAGTGGTTCATATGAAAGATGTTACAAAAGCTATGAGATGAAAGGGCTAGGTAGGGATGTAGGTGACAGAGGGACTGAGTGGTTCCTATGTTCCTGTGAAATAGAGGAAGGCAGCATTAGGAGCAGGATGAGTATAGGTGCAGAGCTCACTTCCATCTCCTTGCCCTCAACTTGTCACAATAGATGTCTGTCACAGTGGTCACCACTTGCAGAAGGAGGAGACCTGAATTCTGAAGGCAGGTCTGGCCGCCAAGAGGATTATCTCAAGCCCAGTAAGACTAGTACTGCGTACAATCCCTGGAAGAGATGGGTGCCTACTGACTCATTGTGACTATGTTCTACTCCTGAGCAGGCCATCCCTATGACCAACCTACAGTCTGACCTCACAGCCCCAGACTCTTCCCTTTCCCTCCAACAGCTCCTTCTGCCTCTTCTCCTAACTAGAAGAAGAGACAAATGATTTTTTCTTAGTCTATGACAAGAAATGTGGCCATATGGAGACGCATTAGGACTGGGTGTGTTCTTGGGCTCATAAAGAGAAAGCAGAGTAGGGACAGTTACGAAACACATACCCTTTATTCGGCCCTTATTAAGTTTCAGCACCATGGCCAAGCAACTTATTAACATCCCCTTTAATTTCCACTGAGGTAGTGAGGTTGGTACTCTTATAATCCCTGCTTCGCCAATGAAGACACTGAGAGACAGAGGAAAGAAAAAAAAATTGCTGGGCAGCTGCCACACGCCTTAAATCCCAGCACTTGAGAGGGAGAGGCAAGTGGATCTTGGTGCGTTCTAGACCAGCTTGATCTGTATATAGCAAGTTTGAGGCCAGCCAGGGTATGAAGTGAGACACTATTCAAAAATAAGAAAAAGGACTGTTCAGCTTTACACTAGTCTCAGAGTCATATGGTTTTGTTTCTAATCAAACATTGTGTGCATTTCTTCCCCTAGAATAAAAATGAACCTTGGCTGGGTATTATGGCTCATTCCTGTAATAACTCAGGAGGCTGAGGCAGGGGAATTGTAACTGTGAGGCCTTGGATGTATAGTCAGACTCTGCCTCAAACACACACACACACACACACACACACACACACACACACACACACCCTTGAGTTTGAAGTCAGATGGCTGCCTTCCTCCTGGTTTTTCCCCAAGTGTCCCTTCACAGAGTGAGATTTCCATCAATATTCCTGAACCCACTAATGTAGAGATTTCCCTGCCCTGCACCCTGTGGCATCATCTTGCTGGTTTGCTGTTGGTCCCTGGCTGCCCTGGAACTCTATACAGACCACACGGGCTTCAAACTCATAGAGCTCTGCTTGCTTCAGTCTTCTGAGTGCTGGCATTAACCGCTGTTGCCAGCTATGTCTTAGAATTTTTGTACAGACTGTCCTGTGGCCTGTGTACCATGCAGAGACTGTGGTTTAAGAACAGACCTGGGGGCTAACAGTCTTCTCTGCGTTGTAAGTCCTGTTTGTGTTGGCTTACACTAATGGGTAGACACAACTGGAGCTGGGGACCGCTGCCTCTACTAAAAGGACAGAAACATAAAGTGTCTGCAAAAGGACAGGCAGTGTTGACAAGGAATCAGACTAACTGAAATAGAGCTGGTGGCTGCCTGGGAAGAGAGGGAAACTGGGGATAATCAAAGCCAGCAGGTACTTATCAGTAGCTACTGAACACCTACTATGTGCCAGAAGCTCTTCTTAGCACTGGAGATACTGACATACAGATTCAGCAGCCATGGAGAGTCAAAGTCTAGACTCTTACAAATCCTGAGAAGCAAGGGACTTTGTCAGAGGAAAGAACGTGAACTGGTCAAAAGCCAGTAAAGAGATCTCTTTGGTGCAGGAGGCTGGGGAGGAAATGAATTAATTTCTGAAGGGGAAAACGGGAAATCAGGACTGAGGCATCCTCTCCTAGACAATGAGCTGAGGGAGAAATGTCAGGAAGTCTTTGTGCCCTAACAACTAAGCTCAGGGACAGGCATGTGGCAGACGCTGTGCAAGCATGCGTTGTGCTGAGGGCAATGGGTTCAGCTTCAGACTCAGTATTCTTGGTGGTTCCCACGCTTGGCTCCAAGGTTCCAAGAACGAGGCGGCAGGCAAGCCCCATGCAGGGTCTTGAAGCAGTTACTTAGGAAGTAAGCACGGTAGTAGGAAAACCTAATTATCTTCCCAACTTATATACTGAACAGATGTTCCCATGCTCATTGAGAATGTAATAATAAGATCAGTGTGGGCTACAGCAGAATAGATTAAAGTCAGACCACAGAAAGGCCTTTTTTACCAGAGTTTGGCCTAGCCCACTCCAGACTGTCTATGAGGGCTGGATTATTGGTCTGCCATTCCCATCCAACCTCCTTCCCCCAAGCCCCAGATAAAAAAACAAACACCCATTGCCTCGATCAGTAATCTGGGGCTGAGTTGGGGAAGCAACACGGTGGTGAGACAGGGACGAGCTCCAACGCCAATGGTTTCAAGACTCCAAACAAAGCACCAGGGCAGTGGGTGTAACTCAAAGCTGTGCGTCAGGCAGGCCTTTCCGGCCTGGCCCAGCCTGGGGTGTTTATTTTGTTTGTTCCTGGAAGCTGCTGCCCTGATGGACAGTGCTGGGGATGCTGATTCCATGGGATTTGTTCTGGGAGGAACAGCCCTCTCACCCTTCCTTCAGGACAGATGGGGCTCATCAGCCCTGCTGAGTTCCCGAAGAGGCAAGAGCCTCCTCGTGTTTGCCTGAGTTACTGTCACTAGTGATGATCCAGTCTGGGGGTGAGGGCTGGCTGTGGGAATGTATGGTGGGGGCAGGGGGCAGGCCTGGTTGGCTTGCTCCTCCCCTGTTGGCTGCCTTCCCTTCTCCTCACTCACTTCTAGGCCCACTCTGGGGCCATTCCCAAACCACTGGCTCATTCATAGTTCAGACCAAAGCTTTTCCATTTGCAGTAGCAACTGATCACTTCGGCTCCCACCTGTTTCTAACAGGAGAGAGAGCGGAGCTCCATTTCAGCGCCAGCACAAGCAAATAGAACATGCTAAAAATGCCAAGGGAAGCAGTGGTGTGTATGTGTTTGTGGGAGGGGGGGTATAGGGAGAACAGAAAAGGAGAGAAGCTGATCCAGGAGGAAATGAGTCTTATGTCTTTGGGGGGCTTTTGGGGGTGAAAGGCTGATATGCTCCTGTTTGCACTCCAGAATTTCCTGAGGCCATGGTAGTGTCCAGGGGTAAGAGTGTTTGCAAGGAAGGGTAAACTGCCTTGAACAGTTTTGAATGATACTGGCAGCCCACCTGTCCTTCAGTGGCCATCTTGCTTGACCTTGTAAATTGTTCAGACTAGAGACTCTACCACAGTGTAATTAATTAATGAATCAATTAAAAGAGACAGCTCTCACTATGTGGCTCTGGCTGGCCTAGAACTCTCTCTATAGACTAGCCTGCCCTGGAACTCAAAGAGAGCTGCCTGCCCCCCGTTTCCTAAATGCTAGAATAAGAGGTGTGTGCTAGCCTGCCCGTTAGACTCTTACTACTCTGTCCGATTCAGGCTTCCCACTGCAAACAGCTCTTGTCCCTGTAGAGCCTTCCTGGACACGAGGCTTATAGGTTGGGGAAATCGGTTAAGAAAAGCTCTAGGGCCCGCAGGTAAAGGGAATGAGGAGGAGAGTAAAAGATAAGGTCTTGTTCTATAGCCTCGGGATTAGAAGTGGGGACTTTATCAGAAGTGTAAACAGTATTCAGTACTGCCCACTGTGTCTTCTCCAGCCCCCTCCTGTCTTCGTCCTGCTGCGGCCACGCTGTCTTCATGAGCCAGCCTCTCCCGTCGCGCCTCTTACATGTGCATGTGAGAATGTTGTCTCAGATTCTCATTTTGTTAGTTTATTTTTCCATGAGGCTCTTAATGTTTATTAAATAAACAGGCAGTGGGTTTGTATTACATGCCCACAGCTTCTGTGTACATGACACATGCCTGGCCTGTGTTCTAGAAGTGTGTGTCACTTTGGCCTTTGGCTAGGGAACTGGTAATGGTGGGAGACCACTCAATTACTCTTTCTGCAACTTTGTAGCATTTTTTCCCCCAGAGATTGTGGGTAATGGTTCTACCCATCAGCCTCACTGAATGTCTTGAGAGGGGAAGAAATCTCTTTAAGGTCTAGATACCAAATCACCCCCTTTTTATCCCTCTGCTGATCCTACCTCCTTTCAAGGTGCTATGCCAAGACCATTTCCACTTTACAGGTACATAGGGGCACTGGGAGCCCGAGTGATCTGTGACAACATCCCTGGTTTGGTGAGCCGCCAGCGGCAGTTGTGCCAGCGTTACCCAGACATCATGCGCTCAGTGGGTGAAGGTGCCAGAGAATGGATCCGAGAGTGTCAGCACCAGTTCCGTCATCACCGCTGGAATTGTACCACACTGGACCGGGACCACACTGTCTTTGGCCGTGTCATGCTTAGAAGTATGGTTCTCTTCCAAGCTTCCAAAGTCCCTTCTTTTCCTATGCTTGGGGTTGTGAGTTAAAAGGTTAGGCACCATCCCTTTCATTTTCCTACACACTACTTCATAATCTAAGAAACAATTTTGGGCAAATCTAGGAGGTAGGAACAGCCGATCACTAGCCTAGATTTGTGAGCCAGGGCCCCCTCAACCTAAGTTTTAAGATTGTGGGTCAAGGTAAGTGGGCATTCATGAACTATGGCTAAGGACTAGGACCAGGTCCTCTGCCCCTTACCAGCACAATCACTACTGTCACCCGGTCACCCTAACAATTCCAACTTATAACAATGGACACAAGAGATAAACAGAAGGTGATATGTAATTATTCTGAGAGCCAGTGGCTTGTCCCCAGTTCAGCAAAAGGGTTCAGCAGAGCTAGGCAAAAAAGGAAGAGAGAGAGAGTGAGATGGGACCATGCTGATGAAGGAGAACTGGAGGTAAGCAACATCCATCTCCAAGGGCAAGGAGAGGACCAGAACAGATTGTTAGTATGTCTCTCTGGACATGCTGACCCCTGGGCAGGGGTCCACAGTGCAGGGGAACTGTCCAGCAGAGGAGGCCTGAAACCCCTGGAATGTTGACTAAGGCAGCTGTAGCTGCATCAGGACCAGTGCTCTCTCCCTCTCCCCCTACTCTGTGTGTGGTGTGTGTATGCGCATGTGCATGAGAGAGACCTAGGGAAAACAAGAGGAAATAGAATAGAGGTCAGCCCAAAGGGGTCAGTGGAATAGCGAGGGAAAAGGAGTGGAACAGTGAGAGCTGGATGTGAGGAATGCTCTCAGAAGACAAGGACACTGATGCAGGGAGTGGACTCTAGAAAAGCTGAGGAGACTTCTCAAGTTGTGTGGATTGAAGAAAGGAAAGGGATGGACGTAGTTGGGTATGTGGCCTGTCCCTGCAATCCTAGCACTAGGGAGGCTGAGAAACGAAAAATCTCAAGTTCAAGGCTGAGTTCCATAACAAGTTCCAGGCCTGGACCATTGAGTAAGGCACTATGAAAAACACCCAGATGTGTGCGTGGGGGGGTGGGGGGTGGGGTGGAAGTCATGGGCCAGGCCATTCCTGTAATAAGTCTCTGCCTCTCTCTGTGTAGGTAGCCGGGAGGCAGCGTTTGTCTATGCCATCTCATCAGCAGGAGTGGTGCATGCGATCACTCGGGCCTGCAGCCAGGGTGAACTGAGCGTGTGTAGCTGTGACCCATATACCCGAGGTCGGCACCATGACCAACGAGGGGACTTTGACTGGGGTGGCTGCAGTGACAACATCCACTATGGTGTCCGCTTTGCCAAGGCTTTTGTGGATGCCAAAGAGAAGAGGCTTAAGGATGCACGGGCCCTCATGAACTTGCATAACAACCGCTGTGGTCGCACGGTCAGTACTCATGTCTGGCTCTGTATGTTCATGTTTTCCAGTGTAAACCAGTTAGGGTGGCCACAGGCTGAATTCAAAGGTGGAAGAGCTGATGGCCTCTGGATCAGTTCCAGCATCCCTAACATTGGCCACAGAATGCAAGGGAGCCTGGGAATGCATAGGCTCAACTAAGTTTTCATAAGACAGAAAAATAACTTTCGTTTTTCTCTTTCGTTTCTTTTGTCTTCCCCCTCACTTTTCTTCCTATCTCATCTCCTTTCCTTTTCTCATTTCCTTTCTTTTTGTTTTCTTTTGGTTTTTCTGTGGGGGGTGGGGTGGGGTCAGGAGTGTTGTTTCTTTTTGAGACAGGGTCTGTGTAGCCTCGGCTGGCCTTGAACTCACACAGATCCACCTGTCTTTGCCTGATTGGTGCTGGCATTAAAGGCATACACCACCATGGCCCGTCTTTTTTGTTTTGTGTGAGACAGGATCTCATTCTGCCTATAGCCTAGGCTGTTCTCCAATCTGAGGCAGTACTCCTGTCCCAGCCTCCTGAGTGCTGGGATTACACATGTGTGCCATCATGCCCGACTAGAATTTAAATTTTAAATTCTTACAAGTGTGACTGTATGATTGCATGTGCACACGTGTGGATGCACGTGGCTGTGCCCTGTCAAGAGGATGTCAGCTGTCCTGCTCTGCCTCTCTCCACCTTATTCCCTCGAGACAGGGTCTGCCACTGAGCCTGGAGCTCAAGCCCCAGACAGCTTCCTGTCTCCAATCCTCCTGTTTCTGTACCCCAGCCCCCATCGCTGGGATTACCAGCCATGTGCTCCCACGCCTGGCTTCTTACAAGAGCTGTGAAGATTTAAACTCAGGTCCTTATAGGGACTCTAAGGACTCTTCCATATGGAGTCATTTCCCAAACCCCAAAGTAGCTTTAATTTTTAAAATTTTAATTACTTTGTTATTGTTGAGCATGCATGCATGCATGCATGATATACATGGATGGGCACCCATGGCATGGTGTATGTGTGAATGTCAGAGGACAACTCTGTGGAACTAGTTCTCACCTTCCACTTACATGTGGGTTCTGGGGATCAAATTCAGGTTTCCAGGACTGCACAGCAAGCACTTTTTCTTGATATCAGTTCGACTGGCCCCAAAAGTAGGTTTTTGTTGTTGTTGTTTTGTTTTTAAGAAGAAAAACTTCCTTCATAAAGACCAAGAAATTTAGGTACAGCTTTAGGCTATTCACTACTATTTGAGAATATGCTATATCCTGTGCTGAGAAATGGCATAAAAGCAGAAAGCATGGCACCTGGCTCTTTAAAAGGATGTTCAGGCTATAACCAGGAGCAGACTCCTATGGCTTGACAATCCAGCAGGCAGTCATGAAAGGCAAAGCACTGTTGGTCCAGGAAGACTTCTTAGAAGAGATTCTCTGAAGTGGTCAGGAAGAGTGGGTGGGATCTGATGTGGCAGAGACCCACCCAGGGCTCAGCCAGAACTCAGAGTGCTCCTGCTCTTGACCCCTGAGCCCCTGAGATGATAGAATCCTGTCCCGACCTGCCTCCCCCCCCCCCCCCCCCCCCAGGCTGTGCGGCGGTTCCTGAAGCTGGAGTGTAAGTGTCACGGTGTGAGCGGCTCCTGTACTCTGCGCACCTGCTGGAGGGCACTCTCGGACTTCCGCCGCACTGGGGACTACCTGAGGAGGCGGTATGATGGGGCCGTGCAGGTGACTGCCACTCAGGATGGCGCCAATTTCACAGCAGCCCGCCAAGGCTATCGCCACGCCACCCGGACTGATCTTGTCTACTTTGACAACTCCCCTGATTACTGTGTCTTGGACAAGGCTGCAGGTGAGAAAGATACAGGCAGAGACCTGGAGCCTAGTTATTAATGCAGGTACCTCTGCTTAATCAAGGTCTGTCTAGTTTGCAGGAGTTAAGGAAAGGAGTCACTCGCCTCCTCACATGAAAACCTGGTCCTGAGAGTTGTGCCTCAGGCTGCCAGGCCTGAGGTTGCACAAGAAGGTCACTACTATAACCCTGGTGTCTGGGATACAGGAGGGACTTCTCGGAGAACATTTAAATTAGCCACCTGCTGTCAGTTCTGGGCGAGATGTGAGCCACACACACATATGAAAGAGATAGAGTAATCAATTGTAACTACAAAGAAAGGTGACTAGAGAAGTCAAGGAAGATTTTTTTTTTTTTTTGAACATGTGGAATCTAAGCTGTTTCTTTTGGGGGGGGGTGTTTTGTTTCATCACTTTTTGTTTTGTTTTTTTTTTTTTTGGTTGGTTGGTTGGTTGGTTTTTTTGTTTTTGAGACCAGGTTTCTCTGTGTAGCCTTGACTGTCCTGGACTCGCTTTGTAGACCAGGCTGGCCTCAAACTCACAGAGGTCCGCCTGCCTCTGCCTCTGCTGGGATTACAGGCGTGCGCCAGCACGCCCAGCCTTCAAGTTGCTTCTTGATGGCGCTGTCACTGCAGATTACAAAAGGAGTGAGGGAGACAGGAGGTGATCTCCGGGACTGCTAGTGAAGTAGCTAATGCTTGACAACAAGCAGAAAGTGGCTGCTCTTCCGTCTGTTCTAAATATGGGTGTGTCGGGGGAACACTGCAAAGTGATAAGGTGTTTCTATGAGAGAATGGAAGCTCCCAACTTGGCTGATGGTTTCTGGTCCAGATAACTAAAAGCAGGGACACTGTGCAGCTCAATGCAGCCACTTCTCTTCCAGTTCCTGTCATGGGGCTTCCAGGCTCTTTTCTGCAGATCACGAGTCAAGATTGGGTAGAGTAGAGCCCTATGCTTTGGCTGGCTTCAGTACCATTTGTTTTTGCTCACTATCATTCTTAGAGTCAAATGGCTCAGAGCCCTTCAGCCCACAGGAAGAGGGTGGTGTTCCACCTGGGTAGTGGAAGGCATATGTACTTTGTAAAGTACTAGAAGTCAGAAAGGTTGGGGGGGGGTGCCCTCTGGATCCCCTAGTGATTTACTGTCACAAGGTAGTTTTTCCATGTGGCCTCATTCAGAGGGTTCATCTCCGGATGCCTGGGAATAATTCCACACATCTGAAGTATAGACTCTTCTACACATCTAAAACGTGCTTTTGGAATTAGGAGTCAGGATGCATCATATGCTTATTAATTTTTCTCAGAGGAATCAATTTAGGTCCCATAAACCCCAAAAATCCAACCGGTAAAATCACCCTAGGAGTATGGCAGCAGGTATAATCTAGCAGGTGACTCACATAAGCCTCTCTTATCTATGGGGGATGTGCTCCAAGATCAGGGGATGCCTGAAAGTGCAGATTGTACTGAACCTTATATATACTATGCTTCTTCCTAGACGTACATGACTGTGGTAAAATTAAATTCGTAAATTAGGCATGGCATATGATGAATGACAGGACAAATAATAAAATAAAGAAATAAGTCCCTCTCTCTCTCTCTCTCTCTCTCTCTCTCTCTCTTTTGGTGCTGCTGCTGATCTAATCTAGGGCCTTGCAATATGCTGGGCAAGGGCTCTACCATTGCATCACAAATAGGACAGTTTTAATAACACTGTGTGATAAAACATAAGTTTTAATCATTTATTTTTAGATTTTCCATTTAATACTTTTGGAACTACAATTGATGCTGTGTAAGAAACTACAGATAGTATAACCATGAACAAGTATGACAAACTACTGTAGAGTTAGTCAATTCAAAACCAACCCTTTTTAGTTTAGCCATTTTTAAGTCATTGAATTTAAGAGAACATGGGCAGCTAGTAGCTACTGTCCTGGAGAGCTCAGCTCCAGACTGAGACCTAGTCAGCCCACGTTTCACAGCTGCTCACTAATACTCTGGATTCTATATTCCTGTTGTAAAACAGAAAATGAAGGGAGTGGTGAGACCAGCCAGTGGTTAGAAGTGCCTGTCACTCTGCCAGAGGACTTGAGCGCAGTCCTCAGCAACCACTCAGCTCCAAGGGATTGACGCCCTCTTCTGTCTTATGAGGGCACCCACATGCAAGTGTGCATACACATACTCACATATATGAACACACAAATACATAAAACTTAAAAAGTAAAGCTGAGAGCTAGAAAGATGGCTCAGCAGGTAAAGCTGCTTCTGCCAACCCTGTTGGCCTGAGTTTGACACTACCCCTCCCTCCCAGTGCCATAAGGTAGAAGGAGAGAATCAACTGCCACAAGTTCTTCTCTGACTTCTGTATGCATGTGGTGGCCTGTGCGTGTCCATACGCACATATTCACACACACATATACATAAATACATGGGAAATTTTTAACAGAGAAAGTTGAGCATGCACCTCCACAGTACGTATGTTTACTTAGACATTCTACTCATGGGGCTGTATGTTAGAGTAGAGAGAGTCATGCTCTCTATATTCTTGTTGTTGTCATCACTGTTGCACTGCTGGGGATCCAATCTAGGGCCTTGCACATGCAAAGCAAGTTCTTTACCACTGACCTACACTTCTAGGCCTAAATCCGAGATTTTAAACCAGAAAGTTGAAACACAAGGGTTTCTGCATATTTATTCTCCCCGTAACCTAACGGAATGTGGAGACGATTGCTGTTGAAATCAGTTGATCCATTTTCTTTCTGTGAGTCTCAGGCTATGGGTCTATGTTACTAGGAAAAAGGTTGATAGGATCTTTTGTGCTGACATCTATTCCAATGAGGTCCTGAGCATCCCTGTGCTATCCTACTCTTCAAGAATCCCTCTGAAAGGGGTTTAACACAATAACACCTTAGAGATAAGCCTTCATCCAGTCACGCCAATTAGCCCACCTCTGTTGGACAGCAATGATAAATACACCATAACAATCTATTATATTAGATGTTGAGTTGTTTTGTTTTCCTGAGACATGATCTTGCTATGCATTCCAAATTGTCCTGAAACTCACTGCAGAGCCCAGGCTAGCCTAGAACTAGAGTGACTCTGCTACCTCAGTATTTTGCATGATGGGGTTACAAGCACCTGGCTAGGTGTTATTTTATATATACTTTCATAGATGGAAAATGAAGCCCAGACATATTCTTTAACTTCCTAAATAGCTACAGCTATTAAGTGACAAAACTAGAATTTAAGTCCAGATAATATGACATTATAACTCCCATGAACTAGACTTCATTTTCAAGTTAGGTTCTAAAGAGGACATGGCAGTGTGCCTTGGCAGGAAAGGAACTGCAGAAGAAATAGGCAGCCTCTGGGGAGCTTTGATGGGAAATAAATGAACCTGGGCCACAGGGCAATGAATGATCATTTTGATTAGTGGTTATATTTTCAGGAAAAAAAAAAGAGAGAGAGAGATTGTTTCTGGCTTCTTAAGAGTGTAAGAGTAGCCAGGCAGTGGTGGCACAGGCCTTTAATCCCGGCCTCAGGAGGCAGAGGCAGGCAGATCTCCGTAAGTTCAAGGCCGGCCTGGTCTACAAAGTGAGTTCCATGACAGCCAGGGCTACACAAAGAAACCTGGTCTCGAAAAATGAAACAAAACAAGAGTGTAAGGATACCCAGACTGGCTAAAACAAAATTAACTTGGTTCTCACCTCTTCTTCCCCGATGCAGGTTCCCTAGGTACGGCAGGCCGAATCTGCAGCAAGACTTCAAAAGGAACAGATGGTTGTGAAATCATGTGTTGCGGCCGAGGGTACGACACAACTCGAGTCACCCGTGTCACCCAGTGTGAGTGCAAATTCCACTGGTGCTGTGCTGTGCGGTGCAAGGAGTGCAAAAACACTGTGGATGTCCACACTTGCAAGGCCCCTAAGAAGGCAGAGTGGCTGGACCAGACCTGAACACACAGACACCTCATACTGCCCTCCACTTCCAGCCTCTGATTCAAAAGCACGAGATCTTTGCATGCACACCTTCCTCCACCCTCAATCCTGGGCTGCTACAGCTTCTGTTACAGACTTGGAGAGTGGTCCAGAGGGAGCCCAATGTCCCTGCTGGTTCCTTAGCCCTAGGAAGGAGTTGATAGGGGATGGATATAACAGACTGAGTGGCTCCCTGATGATCATCTGAGGTTTGAAGGGAGAGTAGAAGAGGTAGGAGGCTGTCTTCAGAGTGATTTGAGTTGCACTAAAGTCAAGACTCATTTTCCCCTTCGCTTGCACTGACTTTCTGATACTCTTTGGGTATGCAACAGAAAGGGAACTTGGAGGTAGCTTCCTTTTTTTGATCCTACTCTAGCTGAGGATAGATAGGATAGAGAGAAAACTGCCTGTCCCTTCACTGGAGACGGTTTGTGCAGATTCTAGGCTATAGTGTTCTGCTGAGACCCTGAGATAGCTAGATGAGTTAGCCATGGTGAACAAGGCTCCACATCATTTTATGAAGCTTATAAACTAGTGGTTTTGTGAGGAGGAAAATCACATAGCTGTACAAATACACATTCTTCCCGTCTCCCTTTCCACCTACATCAGACAGCAGCAGCCTGCTTACTGGCTGCTGTTCAGGAGGTAGCTTGAAGTGGTTCAAGTCTTAATAGACCATCAGAGCCCTGAAACAGGACTGTGAGAGAATAACACAGCAAGCCTGGCTACGCCTTGGGACCTTCCCCCATCAATCTTTCTGAAGATTTAGTAGGCTTGGAAAAGACTAAGTAAAAGTGGGTAACTCATGGGAGAGGGTAAGCATACCTGATCTCAAGGGCTATATGAGGATCAGTGTATACTAGGAAGGTAGAAATCTCTCATTTTTGGCAGTTCTTTAGGAGAGGATCTCCAGATCTTCAGCTTTGAGGTAGGAGCAAAAGCAAGTAGCTACATAGAGAAAGAGAGCTGGTGCTGGAGCAAAGTGGTAAACATCTTAGAAGGCAGTAGCCTTCCGCATTTATTTAGCATATCTTTTTGTGTGTGTGTGATTCCCCAAGTCCTACTGATAACTACTGTCCATTCCATGATTAACTTAAACAGGGAGGTTCCCTCTATGCTACTAACCACTGTCTAATGAGGCTATGCAGGAATGGAGTATACAGTAGGCATAGTGAGCTAGAAGGTAGGACATGGGGTTTGAAACCTCGATGGCTTAGTTTTATGTGCCCTAGACAGTGGCCATCTTCTTGCCTACTGATAACTAGTATAGGAATCTGCAGTTACAACAGACCTAGGTTTAATCCCAGCTATTTTCTCACTCACTGTATTTTTTTATTTTTAGCTGGACCTTTAAATTCTCCTGGTCCACTTTTTTATCTGCAAAACAAAGAGTGCATGCCTCACTCAGATATTGAGATTTAACTCCAGCCAACTGATACATGTCACCAAAGCTTCTGACTTGTCAAGTAAATCCTAACTTCTCTAGGAACTTCTAATTTAGGACTGTCTGGTCTTGACAACAGACTGTAGGTTAAGAAGCTTTCACAAGGAATTCTTGATTTAGATCCTCTTTCTTTTCTCAGGTTCTTCTTCATCCAATTGGGCTCTCAGATGTTTGTGGAGCAACTTCATTCTGCCCAGGCAGCAGGAGGCTGGGGAGGGGGGCTGCTCTGGCCACCGAGGCAGATTTATTTGGATGATAGGACTAATATTTGTGTAACCTGCTGAGACCTGTGTGGGAGAGTTTAGGGTGGTTTTTCTTTTGGTGAGGGGATTTACTCTGGTTTCACATCCATTAACACAAAACATGAGCTAGTCAGGGCCCTTGTGGTCTGTGGTGAGGGGATGACTGGAGAAATAGGACTGAATGAGTCAGGCCTAGAGAATGTCTTCCTTTAGGAGTAGAGTCAACTGGATAACTGATGAGCCAGTGGTGGGATTAGGGCCGGGGAATGGGAGGGGAAGAGGAAAAGGAGAGAAGCTTTGGAGCAGGGTGAGAATACCAAGTTGCTACATCAATGAAGGCACAGGACTTCTATGGGAAGTCAACCTGAGTTAAGTCGGCCTGTGCTGTATTCTCTACTTTCTGAGTTTGGGTTCTTAGAAGTGGTAGAGCTCCCTGACATCTCATAGTACTCCATGCTTCTCCCTGGGCTCCAAATTCTAGCTGATAAAGATATACAACCTCATATAAATGGTAACGAGAGAAATAGCTGTCCAGGGAGTGAGAAGTTTCTGAAGTGAGGTGTTTATGTGAGAGAAAAGATGTCTATCTGAGCCCTGCCACAGAAGCTGTGTGGCCCTAGAAAGGAATGATGGCCAAGCAATGAATTTTGCCGTAGAATTCAGCTTGTCTCCACATTCCAACTGGCTTTAGACAACTGGCGTTCATTCTGCACTATACAAACAGAAACTGATTTATTTGGAACAAGCAACAAAACAAGAACTTTATTTGGTGCCGGGGCTCCACATAGCTCTGCTGCTAACCCCCTCATCTGTTCTGAAGGCCCCTTCTTCCATCTGGTCTCTATATGGTAGAGGCTGTCATCCGTCCGAAGTGGCTTAGCCTCCTTCCTCTTTTCCTTTCCCTCTTGTTGGTCCTCATTTCATCTTTTGATAAATATTTAGGACAGTGTATTTCAATAAGTGCTATTTGGATACAAGGTAAATGTAAAAGACACTGTTTCTATCATTTATGGATAACAGGATCTTTTTAGAGAGGTCACATGACTGAAATACCTCAGCTGCATGTCCTGCAGCCAGTTTCTTTCAGTAGAGGAGCCAGGGTGATGGCTCACACTTGTAATCCCAACACTCTGTGATGCAGGAAAAGTGCTGGGTTTGTGATCAGTGAGCTCCATGTCAACCTAAGAACAGAGTTAGACCCTATATCAAACAAACAAACAACAGAAAGTAAGAATGCAGGCCACAGTCCTAAAACCTAGCACTGCAGAAAAGAACCAAACTTTAGTTTTCAGCTCTAAATGATGGCATTGATTCACATTCTTCATTAGAGAGAGTAAATGTAAACCATGAACTTCAGATTAAAAGAAGAAAACACTGTCCTATGGGTCCGTTTGCAGAAGCTTTGTAGATCTAACTTATGAGCGTTCTCAGCCTCATTTCTCTTCCTCTCTGTTGCAGGAGGCTGTTCTTCTCCTTTCTCTCACATCCCTTATCAAGAACACCAACTACCAAGCCCCTTGCCAAATTCTTAGACCCACTTAGGACATAAGTTTCTACATGGCTTAATAGAAGACAGATAATCAGGATCCCCCCGCCCCCGCCTTTCTAAAAATCTCTATTTAAATGCTCTCAGTGGTCATAGGGCAGAAGCCCAAGCTAGCTAGGGATAGGGGAGGCCGCCAGGGAGAGTATGTTTCCCATCCCTGGGAGGCATTCAGCCTAGCTCCTGCAGCCAAATTACCGCAGCAAAGAACAATGCAGTGCATTCCTGGGCAGGTCGGTGGGCCCTAGGCGCCTGGGTCTGGTGGAGAGAGGTGCCAGACACAGAGTGCTCCGTAAGCAACCCTGCAGAGCTGGCCCTGGGTGCAGAAATGAAATACAGAGAGCTTCACGTTACACACCTGGTTATTGATGGCCTTGCTGGAGGCCTCTGCCCCCACCTTCACTTGGGAACTGCCTGTACTGCGGGGGTTGGGCATCTTTGAAGCAATGTTGGAAAATAAGAAAGACATGCTTCCTTTTTACTCTTTGCCCTTCCTGTCAGCCTGAGTACAACCGTGAGGATACACATATACACACGTGCAGAAGGTGCACTCAAAATGGACTCACACAGCTTTTCTCAGGCTGTGGGGGAATTATAGTAGTCTCACCTCTCCAACAATTAAAAACACGCAACTAGATTCCCCAGAAATCATACCAACAACAGGGTCAGCTACAAGCAAGGAATGTTTCAAAACTACATTATCAACATACAATGCAATGTTTGTTTTGGGAATTGGTACTCTCCTGGGAGGTGGTGGAGGAAGGACAAAGAAAGGGCATGGAGAAAAGAGATCAAGGGTGGAGAATTACCACCCAAGCAGAGTGGCTGAGGCTATACAACTTCTCAAACCTGGTTTGCACTGAGGACAAGGAGGAGTGCATCCTATGTGTTCTGAATGACTGGCCAGGCTCCTTCTGACTGCTTTGAGATACACACAATCACTGAGCTTGCTGCTTGTGACCTGTTGTTTTAAACTCTTGCCAGACTAGAAAATGGGATACTTCTGATTCCAGGAACAATCTCTGGAAAGGAGGTGCTGGAAAAGCACAAGCAGTGGCTTTACAAGGGTAAATACATAACAGTTGCTGACTGAACTAAGCTTTCACAGGAGCAGTTTTCATCTTTGGACGATTGACAGGTTTCAGGTAATAGACCTGAACCTAACCTCAAAGTAAAAAGGGATAGGAGAGTATGTAAACTACTTTCCTCACCATAGCCTGGACTCTCTCTGAGCATTGTTGTAGCTATTTACATAGAATGCTATAGTCATCCAGGATTTGAAAATGCAAGATAAGCAATCTTTGCTCTGCTCCTAAACTCTGAACTATCTTTTCTTTGTTCACTTCCATTTTGCCCATTAATCTATGGACAGAGCAGCTGTACATAGGAGTTCTTTAACCAAAGATGGCAAAATCTGATGACATTTTGTCAACACTACCAGCCCCTGTAAGCAGCCATGGCCAAACAGAAGAGCCAAGCCAGTTTCATCCTTTGACAAATTCCAAGGTGTGGCTTCCACAAGAATAATAAAAATGCTCACAAATGCCTTTTGAACACAAAATGCTTGGGCATGTATATATAGATCTCACAATCACCCCAGGGTGTGTAAGTGGGAATTACTCTATTTTATGGAGCCATTCAGCCATAACGCAAACCTCGCTTTCTCTAGCTTCAAATACTATGTAAGCGTCTCAAAGTCTGAGGATGCTAGGACTAAGAAGAGGGGTGCTGAGTACCAGCACTTCAAAACAGAAGTTGCTGCTAACAGGCCGAAGCCTTTAAGGGTTCTAGGCTGCCAGTGGATCGAAGCAGAACTTACAAAGGCTGGGCCTACATCCTCCTAACTTTGTCAACATGTCTTGTTTGCACTTACTTCGTTGCTGTCACCATTCAGTGCCCACTCTACATAGAACTGTGCTTTTCAACAGCTTTTGCTTCTCGTTCTTTGTAGCCCCACTCCATCCTTCAGATTAAAATTAAAATTTTTGTTTTACTTTCTCTTAAGTTCTTTTCTAGTGGTGCTCAGTGCATAGGCAGAGGGGAAGTAGTCCTGAGGAGAAATGACTACACGGTGGGCTTGTACTGAATTTCCTTTGAGACTTCATTCTTTTAAAAAAAAATCACTACCAAGTCCTTGGTGGGAAAGCAAAGACACCATCCCACCCAAGCCCACTCAGGACCTAGCATAAGCCCCTGGACCACTAGCTGAGCCAGGCAATTCACCTACTAGCTGTGTCCAACCTTGACAATACAACGTCTTTGTTCAAGAACTGTGCAGTCAGGTCACAAAGCCTCTCATGTTGTAAGTAAGCTTATGACTGTCATTTTGTGTTGTTCTGCATTTTAGTTACTCTCTGCCATGTGCCAGCAGATACATGTGGCTTATCGGCTACAGGCAAGGGAGATCTATGATGCAGAGAAAAAAAAGTTGAAGCAGATAGCTTGCTTCTCTCAGTTGCTTCTGCCCTTATTCAAAACTGGGGCTGCAGTTTAATCGAAGACATAAGAAAAGGCAGCCCAGACAACTCTTCCCTGTCCTGCACTGCAGTACACTTGGTTAGAAAGAGCGTAAGCCCTCAAATACCCTATTATCCCACTGGTGTACCCCAACTGAGAAGTCAGAAGGAAAGCTGCAGAAACACTGTACTCATCAATCATGGACTGGGACATTGCAGCTCTCTGCCTGAGCTAGGGAGAGCATCTACCTATAGTTAGGATTTCTCTGCAGCAAACCTTATTTCTGTGGTCCATCCATCTTGGCTCTCACTGCTCTCCTGCTTTCCACCCCCAACTGCCTCCACATGTGGGCTCAGAAGTCATCATCTAAAGAATTCCACTGCTCACCTCCTGCATAGCAGCACAGCCCCATGAGGCCACACACCAGATGGAGGGGATAAAAGTACGAGGTCATGGCTTCTAGCAAGAGGTTTTTCTTAAACTAACCCTGACTCCTGGAAAAGAGTCAGAGCAGGAATATGTCTGGTGAGCTGCTGACAACAGCAGCTTCATAGCTCTTGTGTAAAGAAGGAAAATTCTAACTTGGCTTTCAGTGGAAATTTCCCTACTTCTGTCTTTGGGTTCATTCCTGGTCTATGTCTGTAGCTTGAAGGTGTCTGAGAAGAATGCAGGGATGGACATATCAAAGGGTTAACTATTTCCTAAATGTAAGGACCCACCTGCTGACATGGAGGCCCAGCCCTCAACAGATGCCCTGTTTCTCCAGGAATACAACTATACAGTAAGAAGAAAGGGGATGAGGGTGCACTAGGACCCTGAAGACATTGAAAAGGCTATCAGCAGGCCTTCAAAGAATGAAAAAAGGCAAGGCCGTTAGAGAACGGTCTTCATTGTTAGCATCATGATTGTTGGGAGACAACATACAGAAACAGCAGTTATACAGACTGGGAAACACATCTTAGGAAAAAAAAAAAAAGGAAATGTAAATGAGCTCCATCAGAGATGTTTTTTTCCAAAGGAGGTGCTTAGAGCTGGAATGTTATAAGATAAGGCATGAACTGCTAGAGGGCAGTCAGAGGAAGGCATTCTATGTTGAAGGAACTGGTATGTGCTGTTCAAGCTTACAAGCAAGAATGTACAAGCAATGTATAAGGAATTTCAAGATGGTATATACTATATACATTGGGGAATATAGAGAAATCAGAATGCTGAGCCCAGAGCTTTACTATGAGGTGGCTATGTCGAAAGGTTCAGAATTCCATAAGAGTAACACACAGCCATGTCAGTGAACTCCAGGGTATCTATGGGAAACCACTGGGATGAATTCATCTGCTACACACATAACAACTAAAAAAGATGGGTGTTTGTGAAATCCACCAGAATATTCTGCATCATTAACTACAGATCCTTATCATTTGAAATGCCGGGTTAATCAAGTGATATTAAATAACCAGAGCTATGATATATGCATGTAGTTTTAGGCATAGAACCTGATATTAATCAAGTCAAATACATCAGAAATCAGAATGTAAAAAAGGAATAATTTATAATAGAAAATACATTTCTTTCCTCACTCTAAACCTTGAAACTTGACTGACTCATATTCCATTTGGTACACTTGATTTTTGTGGCCACACATTTATCATATCTGAGGACACAGTAGATAAAGGGAAACTCCAAAAAACTCTAGAGAGCACAAAACAAGTTGACTGATAAATGAGAAGACAGTTCTAATGCTCTAGAGAGAACTGAACCAACAGCCAAAGATGGACACATTCTGAGCCACAGTCTCCAACTATGTCTGTGGTTGGTTAGATCTGTGGTTGGTTAGGTTGATAAAAAAAGCTGTTTAGCAGCTTTCTGTCATACTTGACAGGCTTTCCCTAACTTACATGGACAAAAAGCACAAGGGCAATACTGTTCCTCTATTCAGTTTCCTGATACCACTTTCAAAAACAGCATAAATACTGGGTTGCACGCTGGACCCAGTGTGGTGCTCTGTACATGTATATTAAATGCTCCTTGAATAAGCTCAAGGGTGAGCAGTAGCTTAGGTTTCTGCTTCACCTAACTGGCATGAGTAGGTGCTAGAAGAAAGGCAGCAACTTCACAGCAATAGTGTTTTTTAGTGTCATCTGTTTTTTTTCCCTCCTCTCCTAGGCAGTTTAATAAAGGTGATTTCTGAAACCCTTCACAAAAGGAAAGCTCAGGGGTTTATATTCAATTGTGACACCACTACGAATTCATTAAGCAGCATGTTTCAGGTTGCACTATAATTTCTCCATGTAATGTAAACCCATGGAATCTGACATAAGCTGATTGCTCGTGCTGGTTATTTTATTTACATTTCTGAATGGAGGGGATTTCAATACTCATAAAATATCTAACTGTCTTATTTTTCATCTGCTCTTTCAGGGAAGCTATTATAAAATAGGCCTACAGACAGAAGCCTCAACTTGTATGACTGGTTAAGCAACAAGGGAAAAGTTATTGCTCAAAAAGCAATTTTAAAAAATTCAGTATGGAATTTGAGGCTGAAACTCAGATATGGTTACTCTTAATGCCATCCAGAAGATAAAAGTTCAGGGAAAAGGCTAAATAACCATGCTCCTTATCTTGGTTCCAGTGCTGTGAGAGTGGGGAGTAGCTTTCCAGAGTTCAAAGGGCTGGAGTTAAGTCTTCCTAGAGACCAAATGCTAGCAGACACAGTGAGTAGTGTCACAGAAATGCCTGGGAGTGGGTTCCCTACCACACAGAAAGATGAGTGTGCCTTCTTACCATGTTACAAATTAGAATCTGCCATCACACATCTTACTCTCTAGACATGGACCTCTTAACCTACTCAGAGAGCAGCCATTTCTGCTTATTCCACTAGGTTCGGCAAGTAGAGAGAGACTTCCAGAGAAGTAACAGTCACCAGGAAGTTCTAAAGCCTCTATCTTCTGCCTTCAAGTCATTGCTCAAATTATCTAGTTTCCTTTCTTCTGCTATAGCACTTCAGTATATTCTTCAGCTCTCAAGTATAGCTGCATACTTCATTTAATCAGTTTCCATTTTCACTGATTACATAATCCACGCTTGTATAAACTCACAGGATCTGTGTCTATTTTATACCTTGTACATTGTCATTTTAGTATTCAGGAGGCTGAAACAAGGACTGAGATTTAAGGTCAGCCTGGGCTACACAGTGAGACCCTGTTGCAAAGCACAAGCATCCTAAGGTCATAACCTCAGGAATCCAGTTAGTACATATTACTTGACTGGGGCAGCATAGTAAAGATAAAAACTATTTTCACTTGCTTGGAAAGCAAATCTTGGAGATCCCTCCTATAAAGAAAGACTTGTGCAAGATTCAGAGTTAAAAAGAAAAGTTCAGCTTGAAAGAGTAGACAATAGGAACTTACTTAATGCTGTATCCCAATGTCCTGTTTAGTTTTTTAATTTGCATGGCACATGCCTATTTATCAGAACTAGTGTCTTAGGAGACACTATGGGTGAGTGTGTGAGCTCTGGGAGATGTAGGCAGTGTCTCCTGTCCTCTTCCCCACATAAACAGAAGACAGTAACTGGTTCTAACTCACTAGTCTGCTCCCATGACATTGTATTATTTCATTTTCACCTGGGATGTCCTTCAGCCATTATGAACCTGTCACTATAAGGCAGAAGATGATAAGCCGGGTGTGGTGTCACATGCCTTGATCCAGCACTTGGGGAGGCAGAGGCGGGCCTCTCTGTGAATCTGAGGCCAGCCTGGTCTACAAAAGGAGTCCAGGATAGCCAAGGCTACACAAAGAAACCCTGTTTTGAAAAACAAACAAAAAACGGAGTGAGATGATATAAAAGAGGAAAACACAGGGTAGGAGCTTTTATGGAAGTTACTGTGTGACTAGGAGGTAAGACTTTTCTTAAATGTGTCATTGAGGAGCTCTTGGTTATGTCTTAAGTCCTAACGTACCCATACAGACATTATACTTAATATTACATTTACAAAACTATGAACTTAGGCAGTGAGGTATAAAGATGAAAATATTCCATGTTGTATCTTTGAAAAAGAATAAAAAACTTCTTTCTGTACCTTGTTGGACTTAAGGACTTGACCAGATGGGTTCTGAAAGGAGGGCCCTCTGTGAGTCTAGATTGACTTTTTACTCATTTTGGAGGCAACTGAAATACTTGTCAGCTATAAGCAAACTAAAATGGAAGGATGCTCTCTCTACTATGGTACTAGTTCCTACCTCATACTTCCACGTCTTTCTCCTCTGCTCAACCCTCCACCACAAAACTATGAGCTGTTTATGAACAAGAATTAGATCTTGTACTTCATAAAGTAAACCAAGAAATATTTGTTTATTGAATTAAAGAATTAACAAGTATGGGCTGGGTGAATGGCTCCGTTGGAAAAGTGCTTGCAGCATACACATGAAGACCTAAATTTGAATCCCCAGCACCTATGGAAAAAGCCAGGTAGAGCAGTATGTGCCTATGAGCCCAGTACTGGGAGGGTGAAGACAAGAGTCTAGCCAGATTAAAAAAAAA